CAGTGGATGGCTTACTTCTAACATATATTATAAAAAGTCACTGATTCAATCTATCCTACAACTTGAAAGAATAGGAGCTGAATTGAATTGAGGGTTGATATATTCCTACGGCTTGAAAGAATAGGAACTTGCTCATGATGAGTGGAAGATTTCAGAATACTGGACATGGTTCCAATGGAAGAAATGCTGGACGGAACAGATCGCAGCAAGGCCAAGGTAATGGTCAATACAATGGAAATAAGAGTGGCAATGGTAGCCCAAAAGAGAAGAAGTTTCATCCTCTGACTAGAGGAAACATTCCCGAATTTAGCTTTGATGAAGTAAAGAAGACATTGGGGATCAAAATGTCAACAATGAAGATGGATCATATTGATGACATGATCCAGGGTGCACGAACCTTGAAGTTGTTCAATATTGAAAGTGTGAAGCCGACATTGGTATTGGTAACTGATGAGAGCAATCCTGATAAGGAGATAAAGAATGAAGAAAGAAGAACTAACTATCTGGCTGATTGAAAGGATTGGAAAGCCAGGAACAACACGTTTGATAACAATAAACGCAATGTCTATGGAATGATTATGAAGATGTGCACCGATCACATGGCGGACAAGCTTGAGAGAGAAGCTGACTTTGAAAACAAACTATTCAATGATCCTGTGGAGCTATTGATGCGGATCAAGAAATTTATATTTTGGTCTTTGCTCTCTGAATTTTTGTTTTTTGAATGGGTGGTATTCAACCCTAGTTTCTTGAAACTCCGATGCTGTGAGGCCACCATTAATTTTTTTCTGTTTTGCCCTTGTCAAATAAAACTTGAGCTCGCCACGTGCGTTTTGGGTGGTTGTTGGGTGCTTGGCCAGGTCATCAGCCAAAATCAAATCTTCCTGTAACCATTTATCTAAAAACGTTTGAGTTATAACTCAAGGACAATGAGTTATAACTCCCAACTTCAGGATTCCGTCTATTGATATGATTTGGAATTCAAAGTTTCTTAATGACCCTGCGACCATCAAATGACCCCTTGTTATTGACAGAATTACGATCAGAAAAGATCAAAAATGAAGTTGTTCTGTGAAAATGATATTTTTTAAAACTGAAATATATATAAAAGGCAGGGATCTCCCATTGAAAGACATCAGAATTCCCACAGTCCACCCCGCGCGGTACCAATTTTTGTCATTTGCTGGGTGTTCCAGCCAGTATTGGATTCGATAAATATTTGACAGCATCCTAAAAGGACTCAATATTCAGGGAACCAAGCACCATGAATAAGGGCCACCACAAAGCCCAATTTCATCACAAAGGGGTTTAATACGAGTTCCGCGATTGAAGGCTCGAATAATCAACCTGTTTTGAGTAAGATTCACAGACGAAAACATAGACAGAAACCTTTAATGGTTCCTTGTTGGCCAAAGCAGCAATAGGGAAGTCTGTTACAGTATAGTCATATATATGATGCTTTCAGATTCCGTGATTGTATATTCTACTCTCATGGCAATACAATCAACCTTTTTGCACCTGTTTGAGACAATGACTTGATTCCAAAGGTGAAATGACTACTATTTACTACCTACTTATACCGGTATAAGAAGTTGATTTAATCTGCCATCAGAGAAGACTGAATAATACTCAACAAAACAAAGCAGTACTCTATCTGCAGGATTGAAAAATCAGTTTCTATCATTTAATCTATCACTACCTCCTGTAGTACCAGACAATTTGAGTTGCCAACTTACCAGTGGATTCAGGGTAGCTAGAAGTGATCCTAGGGGATCTGCGGCACTTCCTCATGAGTGAGGGCTAGGGTGGGTCCTTAAGACAAGGTGTTTAGTTGTTTGATAAGACAAAGAGAAACTGTTAGGGCTGTGTGGAGCCTGGAACTAACAACCCCCTAACATCATTTTAAGTCTGAGGAGAGTATTAATTTAGTGTGGAACAGAATTAGTCGAATGACCTGTGATTGGCTCATTGATCAGTAAGATGGGAGATGTATGGGCATTTCTAGCTCTTCCTTAGTCTCAATCTCCGTCGTGTCAATTGCGGCGCTTTGCTTCAGTGAAGTACACAGTTGGCGGACGGAGCGAAGAGTGTTGACAAAGAGGGTGGAAGATGTGGAGAAGACATTGTTTGCATTGGGAGCATGTGGGATGATGGAGACAAAAGAAGGAGCATTGCTGCTCAGTCAAGACCGTCAGCTTTTTGCGTTTGCTTTTGTGTACAACCCACCACCTTTTATAAAAGATCCTCTGTCAAGGTCCTCCGTTGAGGCAACAAAAACTCCTCCGTCAAGGTCCTCCGTCAAGGTTGTCAAAAAATCCTCCGTCAAGGTCGGCATTGAGCCACTCTCCATGTGCAACATGTCATACGTTTATTCCTCCGTTGAGGAAAAAACATCAAATCTCTGTCGAGGTCCTCCATTGAGGTTAACACCAAATCCTCTGTCAAGGTCCTCCATTGAGGTTACAAAAACCCTCTGTCGAGGCCCTCCGTCAAGGTTAACATCAAATCCTCCGTTGAGGGTTATCAAAACAAATCCTCCATCAAGGTTATCTAACAATCCTCCGTCGAGGTCTACATATTGCCCTTCTAGTTGCAATATGTTACTTGAAACAACTGTTTTTCGCGCTCCGTGCTTAAGCCGTCTGTACTAATAACTAGTTTAAAGTCAATTTTGGACCCAAGCTTTCCTGTCTCCTTCGTTCTCAGCCTACTTTTTCCCATGCAGATTTCATCCTTCCCTCTCCAAGATGGATCTCCCTTGCCTGAATATGATTTTTACATCTTCTACTAGTCTTTCTATATTTAGAGTTCTATCACTACCCACTAACCCCGCAAGCGCCCTGATCAAAAACTTTTCTTCCCTTTATTTCCCATTCACACTTCCCTCTCCACTTGCTGACATGCCATTTCAATGGAATTCCCTACACCCAAGCAACGCAAAGAACGCCAACAACGCAGACTTACCTGAAGACATCAACTTCACAGTCAAATCACCAACCTTCTGTGCTGTCTCGGTTTTGACGTACTCTCTACAGACCGTTGGTCATCCGGCCAGACTTCCAACGTACTTCCAGCAGATGCTACATCTTACGCTCTTTTTAACAGACGCGTTTGTTATACTCCTATCGGTTACTCAATATTTCAGGCCTAACTATTATTGGCCCTCCTAAGTACTTTGATTGTTACTAAATATTTCAGCACTGTTACTGAATATTTCAGGCCAAAGCTTGGCCAAACCAAGACTAGATAGCGCACCTAAAACCACTATTCTAATGCTCACAATTTCATTATCAACTGATATCAAATCCCTTTGATCTAGGTTAAGTCAGGTTTTCTGCCCTCTTGTCCCAGGCAGCAACATGCCGCCAGATCTGGACCTTGCCCAAGACGTCCCTGAAGACCTTCTTGTCCTTTCACCCCACGAACATCTTTCATGCCTTTCTCTTCAAGAATAGGAGTGGAAGAAGCCTTTTTGTTCATGAGACCCTCGTCTATCACACCAGTTTATTGTCAAGGGATTTTCCAAGGAAAAATCGTTGAACTTACTTTTGGGATTGAATCATCAATTCAAGTCAAATATTAATCAAATAGGAACAATTTCACTCAAAGTATACCTAGAAACAGGAGAACTATTGTTATGAAAGTGTTGTACAATCCATTACAAATTTGGGTTGGAGAGAGTTTGTTCTGAGTGCCAAAGGCACTCACAATAAAGCACAATTTGCTTTATTCTAACATTCAATCACAAAAGGCAACAAAACAAATTTACATCAAGAACAGCACTGCCTTATGTGACTCCTCAGAAAGTCAAGAGCAATTCGAGTTCAACAGTTGTGAAACAACTATTTTCAACAAAAGATGAAAACGATGGAAAGGCAAGATCGTCGTACAAAGATGCCAAGGAAAGAGTGATTGACTACATCCAAGCTTCTGGAATGAAATGCTCCAAAGACATGGTGAAATTGATTTGTGATGGGAAGTCAATCGACTTCAATGTGATCGCTCCAACATTGAATGCTCCAACTCAAACTGAATCTGTTGCAAGAGAAACAGAGATGGCCCAAAACAAGATTCTCTATTCTGCAAAGCTTGAAGAGAACATGCAAAGATCAAACAAGCAAATCATTAAGTCAAACATCATGCTTAAGTTTGTGACAAAGGCAATGCATATATCAAGCTTCAAGATGAAGCTAATTTTTAGACTACTCTTGAAGATCCAATCCAACACTTGAAACATATTGAACAATTCATGAAGAAGAGTGCTGATGCCAAGTATGACTTCTTGGCTTTCTGGGAAGCCAACCAAAAGTTCTTTGCCACTATTGCAGGGAAGTGGATTACTATCCAAAGACGGTCAGCAAAGCACAAGATATGTTGAAGATTCACATGGATGTGATTAAAAAATCCGGGAGTGAACCTGTACCAAGGAAAATACCAACCTAATAAAGAGAAAGGGAAAGGGAAACCAAAGGATGGAAAGAAGAAGGCAGCATGTTATGTATGTGGCAATGAAGACCATATGTCTCCAAAATGCCCAGACAGACTGCTACCAAAGATCCAATGGAAGAATCAGGATCAATATGTCAACTATGGGAAGAAGCTCAATCTGAATCAGATTGGAGCAACTATTCCAGCTACTGTTCCAGTTATTGTTTAGTCGGGGCGATCGCACTCGCGCATAGGGTGTGACACCTCGACCCCAATTTTGCCGGCATGAATCTCCCTCAGATTAATCATCTAGTAATTACTGTCTACTACAAACATGTGCGCCATCCTTCAACGATTCCAACGCCGTACTGGAAGCTGGTATCCGACCTACGCTTCAAAAGTTGCAGTAGGGTTTTCACGTGGACCCGGCAAAATGTGTTACACCTCGACCCAAAATGTGTCATACCTCGACTTTAAGTCCGCAACCACACCAACAAAAACCATGCCTCCGGTCCGTCAAACTCAACCAAACGAAAGCGTACAAACATCTACTGGTGGTCAATTACTACCAGATGGCTCTGTTCTTGTCCCAGGATGCACTGGACCTAGACGAGCTTGACGACCACAGCATTGAGAACGAGGAAGACTTCCAACACCTCAATTGTGAAGCCGAAGAAGCACAATTGGAACGAATGCTACAATTGTGTGTTGTTGGCAAACCCAAAGGCTCCAAAGACGATCACTGCATCAAAAAGAAAGATCTTATTATGAAACTGATGGACCTAGAGCCTGATGTTAAGATCGCTGGTCTTCCTCCCGGCCACCAAGACCCAGCTCCTGAACCAAGAGTCGCCACTAGTGAGATTCCATTTGTTCAAGTCGACAACCCAGGAAAATGGCCCCACGTGATCTACCGAGGCAAGGTAGACAAGTCTAAAAAGTACCAAGGCCACAAGCTACCGGCTGGTGCCAAATGTTGTCCTTTTGTGAATGGACAAAGAGCATGCAATGGATGGGAGTTTCACTATGGTCCTTGGGAGCACAATCATGAAGAAGCAGGATCCAATGCTTTCCGGAGTGGCGCTACAATGCAAAACATGTTTCCGAATAGCCAAATGGGATCCTTGAATGCCACCACACTCAAGAAGCTTGGCCTCTCCTATCTGTGACCCCAACAGGTCCGGAATCGACGAGGATCCACGCAAAGGCATCCGCCATGACTCTTAGTTGATGGCGACACATCAAAAGGGTAATCAAGTACAACGACAACAACAAGAGCTTCACTCGTGGGCATGCTTGCTACAATCCTGCACACAAGTATGACATGGCATATCGAGTCATTGTTGATAACTGCAACAGCTTGACACTGCATGCAGAGCTTGACCAATGTTGTGACGAGATGACATGGAAGTTCATGGGATATGGGGAGAGTGGCCTAGTCAAACGGATTGTAGGTAAGAAGAAGAACTTTGTGTTGGACTGTCAAGAAGCGCTTGCTAATGTTTGCTAAACATCAATTGTATCTAATACCTACACTTGGTGGTCCTTGCGTCAGGGAAGCCTGGAGTTACCAAAGGAGGTCAAGTCACGATTGTAACTGATGCGTCTCGGTGTTGTCCACGAGCATATATCCATCGCCACAACTTGCATCATCGTCCTACAGGATTTGGTGCACAAGGGCCAAATGAAGTCCGAATGATTGCAGCGATGATCTCTACCATGATCTCCAAGGAAGATGGCGATGGCAGGATCTTCAGGGAGCCCCCTCATTTGGTTCTGGACAACTTCTTCTCGGGGTGCAACTCATGCTCGGTAGATTGGCATAATGCCAGCATCTTTGGATTGGGGTTTCTAGACTCGACGTCCCTCGCATCCAAGGAAGGAGTCAAATGGAATATGCCATCTGACAATGCAAAGATGGCAAACATGAAGTACATTGAGGCAATAAGTGAACCAGAATAGGACTATGCTATCGTAATTACCTTATTTGTATTATTTATTGGCGTTCTGAGTGTATTTGGATGCGCTAAAGTGTAGTTTGATGCCCTAATGTCTTGCGATTGATGCAATGGAAAGTGTCAGAAATTCGAGGTGTGACACATCAACGAGGTGTGACACCTCGAATTTTCACGTGCAAAATTCGAGGTGTCTGACAATCCTTCGGCCGCCCCGACTAAACGATAATTCCTGGAACTTCAGCATCCACAAGTGGAGCATCAAGTGTTGCAGGAAGCGTTGAGACTTGCTGGTACTACAGGTAATCAAATGATGCAAGTTTCTTTGGGAAAGCAGCTCATGCAGATTCCAACTCAAGGTGGCGGCACTGTGACTTTCCCTTACTCAATGAATGCTAATGGTGAGATTGCGTTCAGTGGAATGCAACTCAGCCAATCAAATGCGCCAAAGATTTGATGCAACCCAAGCTCAAACTTGGCAGGTTGGGAAGACTGGCTATTTTGTTACGTCAATGTCTATCTTATTCCATGCCCTGCTGGTATGACAAATGTCAAACTTCAAGCTGACTGGCACTATGCTAGTGAAAATGAAGACTTGCCAGATCTTGCTACTGAAGAAGATCAAGGTATGCCGTTCATTCAAAGCCCCAGAAGAGAAAAGAATCCATTTGGGTTGTACAATCATGTCATCATGGACAGTGGTTGCACAAACACCACCATTTGTAATGGTGAGCTCATGCATGGACTCCGTCATGCTGAGAAAGAACTTGACATGCAAAGTAACGTGGGTAGCAGATTTCTCGACAAAGAAGGTTTTCTAGGAAGATTTCCACCTCCAGTTTATCATGATGAAGATGGAATTGCCAATGTACTTGCTATGCGCGAGATGATTGCTGCGGGATACCGCATTACTATGGACACTGATGCTGACAATGCCTTTATTGTGCATTGTGATAGAAACAGAAAGATGCGATTTGTGAATCGTATGGATGTGTATGTGTTGGAGCAACTTGGAGCAAATGTCAAACCAGGTGCCAAAGAGACAAGTGTGATTTGATGCAACCCAAGCTCAAACTTGGCAGGTTGGGAAGACTGGCTATTTTGATACGTCAATGTCTATCTTATTCCATGCCCTGCTTGGTACCACAAATGTCAAACTTCAAGCCGACTGGCACTATGCTAGTGAAAATGAAGATTTGCCTGATCTTGCTACTGAAGAAGATCAAGATATGCAGTTCATTCAAAGCCCCAGAAGAGAAAAGAATCCATTTGGGTTGTACAATCATGTCATCATGGACAGTGGTTGCACAAACACCACCATTTGTAATGGTGAGCTCATGCATGGACTCCGTCATGCTGAGAAAGAACTTGACATGCAAAGTAACGTGGGTAGCAGATTTCTCGACAAAGAAGGTTTTCTAGGAAGATTTCCACCTCCAGTTTATCATGATGAAGATGGAATTGCCAATGTACTTGCTATGCGCGAGATGATTGCTGCGGGATACCGCATTACTATGGACACTGATGCTGACAATGCCTTTATTGTGCATCGTGATGGAAACAGAAAGATGCAATTTGTGAATCGTATGGATGTGTATGTGTTGGAGCAACTTGGAGCAAATGTCAAACCAGTTGCCAAAGAGACAAGTGCGATGTACCATCGCCATTTAACAACTTAAATAATCAACCCCATTTCAAACTTTCTTCAAACAGACAGAATGGAGATGCTGGACTCGAGATGACCTCCAAGATGGCAACTGTTCGAAAGAACAAAGAAGGATTCACTCCAAGACAAGTCAAGGCTGCGATGGAAGCGAGAAATGCGATGCACATACTCAATGCTCCAAGCACCAAAAGTCTGAAGTATGCGATCCGATCTGGTCTCATCAAGAACTGTCCTATCACCGAAGAAGCGATCAATCATGCCGAAGCAATCCTTGGACCTGACACCTCTACATTGAAAGGCAAATCAACAAGACCAACTCCAAAGAAGACGTGCGACGACTTCTTCAGTCCACCAGAGGAACTGTATCAGCACAATCGATCTATTACCGTCTGTATTGATCACATGGAGATCGAGAATGCTAAGTTTCTCACCTGCATTGATACCACTGTGCATTATCGCTCATGTATTCCTGTGCAGATATGGATAACTCCAAAAGAGAAGAGCTCTTGGCAGGTGCAGACAATGATGTCAATGATATGCCAGAACTCACTGTCAGATACCGTGGAGATGATGACTATGAATCAGATGAGGACAATTCGGGTGATGAAGGCTATGAAGAGGAAAAACCTAGAAAATGTCGATAGAGGAACCGATGATATTGGGAACCTCGTTACTGATCTGAAGGACCTACAAGAGCCGCCAGAAGAAGAGATTGTATTTGAGCCTGAAGAGCCTCAAGTAGCAAAAGTCACTCGATCTGGGCAAACGTATGCGCAAGCTGCAATGTCTGGGTGAACCTTTTTCAAGTTCCAAAGAAACCAAGAGAATGGCCTTTGAGCAGGAGTGGCAGTTCTGCCAATAAGAACAAGAATCGAGTTGGGACAAGACGCAAGCATTGCGAGAGGGAATTGAACCAGTTGAAGAACAAGTTAAAATCTGCTATTTGTACCAAAGAAGGAAGTCACAGTACTAAAGACAGTAAAGCTATCCTTGAAACACAGCACAATCTATGTTTCCAACAGATTGGGAATGAGATGAAAGCTGATTATGAAGAGCACGACGCTATTCTGATCGCTCGTTGCATGATGCAGATCAAGGCCAAGTTTGATACTGACGAAGGTCTGAACTTCATCCAACAAGCGCAGTTGCTTAAGATTTGGGTCCAAGGATCATGATAATCGAAGTCAAATTCCTCTAATTTGTTTGTACAGAGCATGTTTCCGATCGTTTGGTGGATTTGTTCTACATAATTAGCTTGAGGATTTTTGACTGTCGTATCCTAGCATCCGTGTGTATTGTGAAAGGTTTGGAGAAATTAGGGAATGCAAGCATAGTGTCTTTTGCAATCACTCGTTTCACATGTTTGAACGCTTCTGTGCATTCTTGTTTCCATACAAATGGACGTCCATTTTTGCTGGATTTGATAAATTCAGGAACGCACCACAACGTGCAACGCACGCAATTGAAATGTCCGTTAATTGTTTAATATGTTTTTTTTTTGAAAACGTGAAGTGTCCGTTGCCATTTTAGCGCGGGCGCACTGTTAAAATCGGGCATGCCCCGTGCGTCAATTTGACGCAAAACAGGCACGCCCCGCGTCAATCTTGCGTCAATTTGACTCAAATCCGCGTCAATTTGACGCAAATCCGCGTCAATTTGACGAAAATTTTTGTGTCAGATTGACGCAAATTGCGTCAATCCTGCGTTAAACTTAAAAAGTTGCGTCAATCCTGCGTCAAACAGATCCCGCGTCAAACTCAAGCGAGGCCAGAAACACAATATTATAAGGGCACAGTACAGGTTCTGACACCAGCTACGTCATTATGCTATGGGGCTACAGTTCTGGATCCGTTTCTCAGAAGTACTCGGCTTCATAGTCAGGTATATCCCAAAATTTCACAGTTCCAAGCTCTAAACCAATTTGTATTGATACCAGGACAGCACCTACCGCAAACATATGCTTATCATAGTTATGGATCCAAATACCTCGCAATGATTGGAATTTTTTCAACTTGCAAAAGACACATTCTTGTCTTGCACAAACAACACCCTTTTGCTGCTTTCCCGACGCGATTTGGCGACTTGAGGATTCTTAAAACAGCATTCGCCTGAAGATCCAGCATCAGCCCCGACACATTCACCTGCGTCCAATTTTGACTTCAGCTCCTCTCGGAAAATCTTTATATCTGACTTGCCACCCTCGTGCCAACCGCTCCAATGGACAATGTAGCCTTTGTGAATAGAGCTAGCAACATCATACTTGAGGCCTGCTTTGTGGCGTTTAACATCCCACATTTTGCTGTCGAACGGCCACTTATCAAAGCACCCAAACGTAGTAGCATCGTAGACAATTGAAGCCATTGTGACCAACTTGTTCCATCCAATCAGTCGGAGATCCATCCGAATCACCTGGTGGTGTAGGTCATGCACAAGAGGAATGAAAATCCAAGCCCATTTACGAAATGTATTTGCACTGCAACTAACCATCTTTGCATTGGCGTCATCGCCAGCATACTTCTTGAGTAGAACATAAGCATATAGAAGATGACGTGGGGCACCACCCTTGGAAATTTTGTTGCTTTCAGCTAGTCTGTTCCAAATGTTACTAGCTACCTCGGGCAAAGTGCCAAAGAAGCATGCCCACATTCTCGCTTGTGATTGGTTGGTATACGTCCAGTTCTTTTTTTGGTTTGGAGTGCGTAACGTGTAGAAAAAAATATTTCAGAAACGAAACAACACGCATTCCGGCAGAACCAACCAGTCTGCCTCGCGTAGCGCTAGTACTGAATTTACGTAGAAAACTTTCGAATTTATCACCAAGCCAACCATTCAACACCGGCGCACCATGGGCAAATCTATCAACGCGAAGGCATCCTTGGCGATGACAAAAAAGTCGGGCATGTCTCCTCTGGGGCTAAAAAGTCCGTCAAAAAACGAGTGGAAATTCACCTACAACAGCCAAAAGACAGGGATCCCATCGATTCCAGGATGGTCTCTGCAACCCAAACTGATGAGAAGCGTGTTATCGACGACAACGAAGCGCAACGCATGGCTAATGAGATTGAGGCAAAACGAATCGCGGAATGAGAAGCTCGCAGGAGTGGACAGTACGACAGCATTGTTCCAAACCTGTCGGAGTGGTGGATGAAGAATTTATATTCAGGAGATGCTGTCGACAAAGCATTGGAACGAAATGACCGTATCCATACGGGAAACGCGCTTTTTATGGCGTGGGAAGAACGTTTTCCTGCTGCTTGGAACCAACCCTGCCTCCGGTATGACGATCCATTTTACGACAATACCGGGACAACAACTTGTGAAGATCGTTTTGCTTGCATTTTCACATCGATGAATTCGGATAATAACCAATTGACACAGTACCTAATTGCCGCATTTGATAATGAAACGATGGAAGTGAATCCGTATGAAGAAATCTGGTCTTTACGTATTTTGGCTTTGCAGATTTCCTTACAAAATCCGTTTTCCTTTTTTGGTATTGATGAGTTTGAGGGCAAACCGGACGACAACCATTTCTTTTCTGGCGAAATGTCCAATCCACGGCTACGCTTGGAGCATCCCTTGGTGGGCTTTTGGTTAATTTGCTCCAAGTTGTTTGATTATCCTTGGATTAATGAGTTTCTCTTGGAGTATTACGACGACCCGCCATCCGCAATTGTCGACGCAATCAAACAAACAAGAAGTGGCAAGTCTATCAACAATGCTCCAAATCGGGAATCATTGAAGGAACCGGATCCGCCTCGTATCCAAAAAATATACGATCCGATGTACTCTATTGACGAACCGGGCACGGATGTTCATCGCGAATCCACCAGCTCCAAAGGGGACCAGGTGCAAAACCCAAATCGCTTTGCACCTCTACAAAGTGATGATGACTCGTTTGAAGGCAATGGAATTCAGGAATTCGACGAGGTTGAAGTGGTGGCGGTGAAAAAGAATGCCTCCAAGGCGCCTGAGTTGTCGGATGAAGATGAAGACACATAAGATGACGACACTAACGACAGGGAGAACATTGTGGATGACGCAATGGAGGAAGACAATGATGACGAACGGGTCAATACCGCTGGGGCAAACCCGCACGATGAGGCCATGGACGACAACACTCTACCGTTGACTTCTCCTAAACTTACGGCAACACAAGACTCAGCAGGTACAGGGACCTTTACGGAGCCCTCGGAAACAACTCCTTCTCGAGTTCGGCGCCCCCCAACACTGGCCAAACGGATCTCAAACCTCATTCAGGTGAACATGGAAGGGATACCAGGCAAGTGTCACATCTTCAAGACTACTTTCTCCGTGGACTATCAAGGGTTGGATTCAGGAACTGTGGCGGAGGCGCTCTTGTCGACAGTTCTGATGTCTATGGAGGAAGCCATCAACAATTCCCCTAATGAATTGAAGCTTCTTCCGATCTCTGATACCACATATAAGCAACCGAATCTTTGGATTCGAAACTCAGTAGATTTACGCAATCGCATTTTGACTTATCGCGCTCTGTCTACTTACTGTGATATGGAATATGGTAACTGTCCCTACGCGGCAGCCAACAGCAAGCCGGGCGAGAAGAAACTACGCACACCCATTCGCGTCAGCTTCTCGGCTGAGGCCTCGGTCGAGGCCGTCCAAGACTATCTTCATACCGGATTACGTCAATTGGGGAGAGGCGCTGGGTGCTACCCTTCTCCCTTGCAGTATGGAGAAATTGTGAAGATCGGATCATGCTCGTTTATTCCTGCAGAAGTCAACTTCTCAGCTTATGCAAAGGAACTGATGAGACTATTTGATTTCGAAGTACCGATTGGTATCAAGATGGACTGGGTTTCTGTTCCGTACACAGGCCGAGCAAAGTACGACGAACGATCCCCCGGAGTGACTAGTCCACATTGTTTCACTTGGAGGATTCATGCCAAGAGAGTTGATCGCACTTTGAGGTCAATTCTCCACCCAGCAACTGCAAAACCTGACTTTCCATTCGCAGCACCGGCCACCTACATCAGTGATTGGAAATTGGCTCAACAAGGTTTGCTGAGTGTTAAGGCCTACGGTCCGGTGAAGGATGCGATCCTTACCTTGATCAGCAAGTTACGGGATTACTACATTTTGACGGAAGTTCTTTATCCAGGCATTGACTTCACGGGGATGTTCAAGTTTGCGACTACAAGGTTGTACGGTTCTTGCACCCTATTCAAACTGCTCTTGTCCATCAAGGCCATTCCGGCCCAGGCTGATCAGGCTTCCACAGCTGCCAAAGACAGACCCCCAACACCTGCCAATGACGACTCATCTGAAGAGGAGGACGATGAATCCCAGGAGGGAGCGGGTTCCCTGTCCGGACCATTCACAAAGGTGACAAAGAAGAAGATGAGGAAGAAGAAGAGGAAGTCGCTCATTTCCGATAACCTAGAGAATCATTTTCTCAAAGATCTATCCCCGGCACAACGCAAGCTGGCTGAAGCTACCGACCGCAAACTGAAGAACGATATTGATCGCCATAAGGCGGGACCACTCTTCCTGATGATCCTTCCTGGAGAAATGGAAGGCTCTTACATCTTTGTATGCCGCAAGAAGTACGGTCAGTTAGCTCGAAACGTGTTGAGAGGGATAGTTCCGTTCTTGATTCATCACCTGTGCGAACTTACCAATACGCAAGCTGATCGAGTCTTGGGTAAATGGATTCCCAAATCAGAGATCCAGGCGACGCGTCGTAAGTGTTTGGTATGGTGCACCAACACACTACACGCTATTGAGGCCTCCAATCAGTCGACCAAGGTGGAGGAAGCTCTGGAGTTTCTGGACGATGTGATCAAAGACACCACCAATGTCTACCAAGGTCAACTCTTGATCGGTATGGATATGGCGAGTGCCAAGGATATTGACGATGGTCAAACGGTCACGGGGATGCTGGATGAAATGCACGAACGTGAACAACAATTGGAGGATGCCTTTGTGGAAATTGAAGCCCGTGACAACGCCTTGGCGGCTAAAGACCAGGCCATGGCTCAGCAGAAAGCCGCGACTGCGGCTCTTCAAGCCCAACTTGACGCCCTTCAACGTCAGACAGCCCACCACTTGGCCATCAATTCGCAACCACCTGCTCAAAATAATGAGGTATCTCCAGATCGGTCCGATTTCACTACGCCACCAAAAAAGAGGAAAAGCAAGGATACTTCCACGACTAAGAGGAGAGTTGATAGGTCTAAGGCTGGTCTTAAGCCGCCCACTAAGTCAACTCATACCAGCACGTCTGTTCACTTTCAGCAGCCGAAGCAGCGCTCTCGGAACCCGTCTCAGGTCCAGGTGGAAACAACTCAGATGGAAGGTGATACTACGACAGCTGTGTCCCAGGACGAAAGCCTCTCATCTCTGACAGCGGCATCTCCGGGAGGTGTACACCCGTTCTTTCTCTCTTCTCCATCTGGCAAATCTGGTACTAGCGGATCTGCTAAGTTGCCTTCTTCGGCCAGCCGCGGAGCGCCTCGCTCCGCGGCAGGGCCATGAGAGGCCCCAGGTCGTCTGCCGCTCGGCGTGCAGGCAGAAGATCTCGAATTAGTGGCCCGTCAAGTGTTGTTTCCCACGCTTCACTTGATGAATATTTACGCTCTCTGCCACCAGGAGACTGCCTTGGCGATGACCATCGCTGTCGCTCTT